ATCTCTTATTTTTAAATCAACCAATAATTCGTGAAAAAGTATGTGTATTATTCATTTATTAAAGTATTTTGCTTAAATCTTTATACGAAAGAATGTCAACAGAATTCATGCAAGTTTGTTCAAAAGTAAGTAAAAAGTCATTCGTGTGTATTTCCGTTGTTTTTTTTTTTTTTTTTTTTTGCGACTTCTACATGGAGAGAGTCAAACGAATGGCAACCAGGGCATACATTTTGCACTTTTAAGACATGGATAAGATCTGAAGTGGCTCATCAAAAAATATATACCCTAATTCCTGTTGCTGCAAGCCTCAAACCGACTTCTAAAGCTATACAAGTAATTAAAATCGTAGGAATCAATGCGTTTGATGCATTGCTTGTTTATTTGATTTTAATTTGTTTTATTAAATTATTGAACAGCCAAAAAAATACAAGTAATGATTGATGGAAATTTCTGTGTACTTTTATAATCACTTTGCTTGACTATTTTACATTCAATATTATACATACTTTGATGTTGTGCGATTAAAAATAAGTAATTTAATACCTATATTGAAATTATCTGATGATCGTTCCTGGATAATCCACATGGAAACACCAAATATAGGTAGTAAAAATATACCCAGCTCGTGGTTTGTGATAAAGAATGATACGTTTGATTGATTGATTGTTGGTTGCTTAGCATCCAAATGGCAAATAGTTCATGCATGTTCACGACGAAAACAAATGAACATTAAATACAATAGGTAGATCCTGTAATAGAGGACATCCAGGATGAAGGTCGAGGAAAATTTGACTGCCACTAGAAATTGAGGGTACATTGAATAGAGACAGACATTTTGCCTTTCAACAGTCCACCTACGGTCCCCTTGAAAGAGTTGTTGCATGGGTTCTTAACTGACAGAGAGCGTGGCAGTCTCATCGGTTTTCACGTCCCCATTCTGACCGGACGTGGCTGTGTACTTGTACATCCCGCACAGCCAAACAAACGCCCCACTTTTGCGAGGGTTTTACTACCGGTTGGAAGAAGAACAAAGAGACCATACATTGTATTTCTGTTCCCCAGTCACACTTCGATAAGTTTAAAGTACTGAGATAGATAAAGCGAAAAAATGGACTAGGCAGTGATTATTCAGATTTTTGACATTCTTTATTAAGTCGAACTAGGACGGTGATAAGTAACTTGATTAAATGAGATAAATAGCATGTAAAAATTGGTATTTTGTATCAAACGATTTTCAACAGCAATATATATTATAGCGCTGAAAAACTTTTATCCATTATGTGAAGGGGGCCTCGGTAGCCGAATGGTCTAAGTAGTCGACCTACTGTATCGCTAACCTGTCAACACTGAGGTTGTAAGTTCGAATCCAGCACGTGGCAGGTGTGATCGACTCCAATCTTAATTGACTAGGATTGTCAGTTTTGCTATCGAAGGTCGGTGGTTCTCTCCGGACATTCCGGCTGTCTCCACCAATAAAAACTGCCCACCACGAAGTAGCACAATAATGCGGAAAGTGGCGTTAAACACCAATCAATCAATTTAATATGTAAAATAGCAAAATATTCTTTAAGTAACAATAAAGATCATTATTTAGATTTTGATTGGCTAATTCGAGGGAGATAAATTCTTCTATCGCATGGCTCAGAGGGAGATACTTTTTATGATGTCACCCTCTCGTGCAGTCAGACCAATCGAAATCGATAATTTAAAGGACAACGAATTGAATTTGAACCAATAATTTTAAAGACAATGCTCGTGTTCTACGTTCGCCTCGGTTGACAATGTTTTATCGGGGTAACAATCTGTTCTATATCACTGTCTCAGCTATGTGTTATTTATATAATATTCCATTGTGCTTCGTCAATTTTGGGATTTTGACCCCGTGAGTCAAACCAATTCAAGGGGTATTATTTATACCTCTTAAAGAAATGTCTAAGTATTGTCTAATTTTGTCCTGCTGGAAGACCCAATATTCTGTTTGTAATGTCCAAGAACGATGAAAATACGTTTTAGTTAGGTAGACTGGAGGGTAAAGATAGCTATTCCCTGAAAATAGAAAAGTTTAAAAATAGCTAGAGTACAATGAAAGGTAGTAGTACCTATATATAAATGAGGAGATGTTGTATGATTGCCAATGAGGCAACTATCCCCCAGAGTCAACAATTATCCATGAAATAACTATTCCACTGATATTTGAATATTGAAGACAAGTTTACAGTATCTAATGTTTTGAAAAGACTTTCAAAATTGTAACTGAAAAGAGGAGAGAGGAGCAATGCCATAGTTTTGTCCCCTCCAACCACTTGAGAGCGTAGATGTACCTCTGTGCCAAGATCCTTGACAACACAGTGTTGATTTGTTAGTTGGAGGTACTGTCATATTATTGCTATATCGGAAAAAATAATTTTTATTTTGCAGCAATTTGGCATTAGACTAGTGGTTCCTATTAATGCAAGATCTTTTTTAGTCAAAAAAAAAGTCACCAGTACTGTGGAATAAATAGGCTCTCCACTGTCCATTACTTTTAGTTTAATTATATATAGATCTTGTACTTTACCTTAAAATCTCACATTATTTCAGTAATCTAAATTTAAAATGCATTAATTTTGAAAGAGAACTGACTGATTAAATCATTTTAGTTCTGTGATTATGCTTTTGTTGTTCACTATTTCAAGTTTTATAAAATACCATTAATAGATTAAAAGGAATTTTTAAGCACGCATTATTTGATACAGTTCTCAATTTACAGTGAACTTGATAAGATAATAGCTGTTTAACGTTGCATCAGAAGCGGGATGGGAAATAAGATGATCTAACGTTGCGATTTCTTAACCGATCAGGATCACACGAGATCGCCCTCGGTTTTGGTGGGGTTCGTGTTGCTCTGGCTTTAATTTGGTATGTAGTATTCTGTCGACTTTTTGTCGTTTCATCGTTTTTTGCATTTTTGCCAGTCACTTCGACTTTTGAGTTTTGATTCGCCTTTTTGGTATATTCCGCCTTTTTTAGCTCACCTGGCCCAAGTGAGCTATTCTCATCAATTGGCGTCCGTCGTCCGTTTACTTTCTCCTCTGAAACTACTGGGACAATTGTAACCAAACTAGGCCACAATTATCCTTGGGGTATCTAGTTTAGGAGTGAAATGCAAATTTTGTCTATTATCTTGAAAACCGCTATAGATGAAAAAAACCAATATGGGCAGAAATGTTCAGAATTTGTTTAAAAAAAACTGTCAGACGACTTCTTATATTTAAATTGCCCTTATTTGACAAATTTTACCAATTTTTTCATTTTTGTCTATTATTTTTGAACTGTAATAGATAGAGTGAAACTTTAGGAAGCCAACATTATCGACTCGTTATTGGAGTTATTGCTCTTCAATGAAGATTTTTTACCAATTTTTGGGGTTTTGCCTATTATCTTGACAACTATAAAAGATAGACAAAAATAATCAGCAAGATAAGATCTATTAATAAGTAAATGTTTTTTAAAATCGTTAGTATACTCTTTATACGAGTGATTTATCTGAAATGAAAATATGATTACCCTTTTTGTGTTTTGGGCAAAAATTAAAGAAGATAGAGAAAAACTGTAAACAGAAAAATGAACAGCAATGCAAGATCAACAAAAAGGAGAATTTTGTCTTGAATTCTATTCAAGTCTACAATGTTGGAAAGCGTCCATTATCAAAGATGCAAATAGAAAGTGAACGACACAGGCTCTTTAGTCTCTAGTTATACACCCCATTACGACCCCCTACAGATGTTTCTGTAGTTGTTATTTATTTTATCGGTAATAAATGTTTGAAATCGTGATCCATTCTTTAAAATCATTGTAAAAAAGTAATACCATAAAATTATGGTCAGGTTATTATTAAAACTAAATATTTTATGGCATGATATTTGAGCATCAAATTATTCTTATAAAAAGCAGCGACTTTTTTGTAAAATATGTTTGTTCTGCAATTGGAGGAACACTAGGGATTTTCAAAACCGTTGATTCTGAAAATAATTTATTTATATAAAAATAAGGAGTTGTTGTTTGATTGCCAATTCCATAACTATCCACCAGAGAAAAAAGGAAGAGAATGTAATACTAGTCTTGTGTTCATCCATGTATGATTATTTTAATTATTCAAGAGGTAATTATAAAACACATCTTTCAAATAAACTTATATTATATGTTCAGATTATTTTTTAAATAAACCGGAAATAAAGAATATAAAACAATGACACGATGAAAGAAAATAGACAATTAGACACAAAGGTATTCACACACACAGAGATCATCGACAATAAAGGTATCCTTGTGATTTTAACATGAAAAAGTTACGAACTTATTCGGTCTTATAGAAGTGTTATCATTTATCAGCATATAGATCAGATTTGTCAACTTAACCAGAAAAGGACAAGATAGTACAGCGACTCGTAATGTCATACAAAAGCAGTGATAAGGTATCAAATTGATGACAGAAAAATAGAAGTAATTAAGATTTCATTCCAAATCCATAACTATGAAAAATATTCTGCGAGTGTTTAATACTGCATCTGGAAAAATTGAGATAATGACACTATTCCTGTTTTATCAAAACTAATTGCCCTAAAGAACAAGAGAAAAGATAAACTAATTATTTATTATTTCTATGGAAATCAAATGTAGTCGTTTCATATCTTCGGGGCTATTGCCACTCAGATATGAGAAGCTTACATCTAATACAAATAACGTAGAGCTTTTTATCTCCTCACTCAAAGATTCTTTTCCTCCTGAAAGTATCCTTATTTATGCAAATTAAAAAGAAATGAGCTGCACTGGACTGCTTGGTTTTATATACAAATAAGAAGATGTGGTGTGGCCAATGAGACAGTTCTCAACAAGAGACCAAATGACACAGAAATTAACAACTATAGGTCACCGTTTATGTATTCCAGGTGATTTGAAATAAAAGATATTATTCACTGGTGGTCAAGATAATTTAAATATCCATTTATCTTTATCTACAGAACTATCTACGACAGAAAAAAAATCAACCACAGATTACAAAGAGAAACAAGAAAATCTACAGGAAAACTATCATGGTAAGATAACTTTTTATTTGCTTTCATGAATAAAAATATTTTTAACGTACATGTAATCAACTCTCTATAGCAGTTAATTCAAATGATCCACACTATGATACATATCTTGTGTGACTTAAATCTTATAAAAGTACCTTTTGGACTTTATATAGCTTTTTGATTTTTAGAAGATGGATTTTTTTTATAGCGCAAAAATCAGAATGTGTGAGATATGCAAACCTTATTGATTAAAACCTTTCACGAATTAATATCCGAAGATAAAACTTATACGTATTCCTCTTAATTCGTCCTGAAACATAATAAACTTGCAATTGAAAAATAAATGGCAGTTCAGTTATTATTAGTTTTGTTTAAAAGCTATTTGCTCTTCCTATTGCAATAATTCATCTTTATTAAGTTAGGTCATCCTAAATTAAAGTCCGCACTGTCTATTTGTTTTCTTCACTACGGTAAGATATATGAGATTGCAAACTGTCACATAAATAGATAGTGAAAGAGACACTCTAGAAATAATGACCTTTTACGACTAATATATGAGTATATAAACGAATGTATCTACTTCCAGACGTTATTTTATTGTGCAAAATACAATTAATACATTTGTCCATGTGAAATACTGGTAAAAGATTTTTCTGCTCCTTTGGATTTTGTCTGTGTTTTAGATTTGATTTGACTGAATCTGTTGTACGTAATGGGGTTTTATTTATTTGCTTGAAGGCGTCATCTCTGAATGAGGCTAGCAAAGAGTGATTTTTAATAATAGAGGGTTGATTCAACACTTCGTATCAGCGTAAATTGTAAACGTTCATTGTTTTGACTTTAAACAAATATAATTAAATAGCTACGTTGTATTTGCTTTTATTGCATAGCAATATAATATTTCCCACAGAAAGTAACCAAAAGTTAGCGTGCAATACATTCTAATATTGCACTAGTGCAATAAATCTTAAATTTATGACGTCATCAACGACAAAATCTTAGTTTAAACCAATTTTTACTTTCAAATATTATATTGATATACAATAAAAGGGTTATTGCATGAATATTGGGGAATATTGTCCCTCGTAGAACATATATTGCACTCGCAAGCTCGTGCAATATAAATTCTACTCGGGACAATATTCCCCAATATTCATGCAATAGCCCTTTATTACAAATATAAAAAAAGCTTCTTCTTCTTTTTCATTATTACTGTTGATGTTATTATTATGATTTTTATTATTGTCATTTGAAATCGTTAAACTTCTTGTTATGAAATCTTTTGAAGAATATGCTATAGTTTCAAATCAAAAGAATAATTTCACTCGATCGACTTGTGGTTTTAAACATTATTTAAAAAATGCTTTTTGTTAGGCAAATTTTCCCCACAAGGAGTGCATTTTACCGAAGATTACATATAATAATTTATAAAAATAAAGTTCAGTTCTTTCCTTTCAAGAAATAATAGACAACCATGTTGTTAATCGAGAGAAATAAATATTACTGAGCAACTTTTTCAGGCCCAAGGAGTTGAGGACTACATGCAAACTTATATTTTCTGTAATAATTCAATAGAAACTAAATAAGTTTATTAGGGAATGTACATGTATTATTAATAAGGGGAAACTTTTAGTTTTGCATTCAGACAAATTTTGCACAACAAATTTAAAGTGTTATAAACTATAATTAAACTAAAGTATAATACTTTATAATATTATTTTTGAGAACTGACCACAAGCACATTTCAAGAAGAAATAACTGCATTGTGTCCAAAATTTGATTAGGTTAGGAAAGCAGGTTAAACATAAAAGAATATTTGTAAACGCTTTAGTTATCATTAGACCTCCCGTATAGACCCTTATAAACCTGATTGATGTGATTTGTCTTTGTTGTTACATAATTTATTTTTTGGTCTCCACAGGGACCTTTTAAAGTCTTACATTTCTTGTTAATATGTTTTCATATCGCGTTAAGCAACATCACTTTACGTGAGGCGATATCAATCGGTAGAAAAACATCACGGAATAAGTTACTGCTCAAATGTGGTTCACCAATATTTACAGTTAACATTATGGCATTTATTGTAATTACCCGAAATCACTCGAATAGATTTCCATCCAGATCACGACATGCGCGTCAGTGATTGGGTATTCTTGGTTCCGGCGGGAATTTTCATGAGATTGATTTACATTTAATGACGTAACCTAATGCTACTCCTATCTTGTAAAAATTGGGATAATAATCAAATCAAACCAATATAACAAAGACTTTGGTTTACAGATGTTGGTCTCTCGCGATCAAGATGTTGCTAATTACACTATAAGAATCTATTGTGATAAAGCAAATTTATCAAGATATAGTTGTATACACGCAATACTGTCTTTAGCAATACCTCGCCTTTCTGAGAATAAAACCTTTTATTTAAGCAGTTTGAAGAATTATAACGTACATTACTCGATTTTCAAACAATTATTCTAGCAAAACATATATGAGTTTCATTTTTACTGGCTAAATAAAAAGTTTTTATATGCGTTTATTGGTGTATATATTTTGAATTCACGAATACTAGTAAATGATTTCGCAGTCCATCTTTTGTTGTATTGATTCGGTCTTTTTTTGTAAATAAGTTTTAAATAATAAAAGAAAAACATTAATTCAGCATTAAACTAAAGACAAATCGAAATTTTATCACGCCGTTTTCCCAAACCATTCGTAAAAAATATTGTATACTTTTGCAGGGAATGGGGGACTTTTTTCATCCTTAAAATATTCACCGTTCTGTAGTCAGTACACATACTTTTACAGTTGGTAAATGCATTTCGTATTGATTGCTAACTTCCCCATAGTTATTAATACGCTATCTTGTATATACTAAACTTTCTATTCCTGGAAGCTTTTATTTAATGTTACATGATCAAACGGATGATCTCTACAGCAGTTTAAATGGATGTGTATAGGAATGTGAACGTCTTTTTGGTGCTTAGTATCGGTCCGGTTAATTTTCTGTTTCGCTAGTCTTTAATTGTCTTTTGCATATTCCGATTAAAGGATATTCACCTTCCCTAATTGATTAACATTTTAATCTGACCAAAAACCGGAGTAAAGAAATGTAAAAGATATAATTTTTTTTATTAAAAAAATAAACCTATATGTTTAAGAATAAGAATATACAGCGTAAAAAGACAGACAAAATGTGAAAACATACTTTTGACGAAGTCCCTCCCATAATGTTTTTTTTTCGGGTTTTCTTTTGTAATATTGTAATTTACTCATGTCTTTCTTTTGTTCATCTGTTTAGGACTTACTTCAACCTCAACCCCAGCTGAGGATATGAAACGCATGAAAACTTTTTATGACCGATACCAACCATTATTCGACAGATCTGCACCGATAAGAGAAGATACTCTGAATTCTGTTTATTACAATGGATACAGGTATCTGGAAAGAGATCACAAACTTCTTAGATACAACTGTGATTGTTTTGATTGCAAGCCTTGGCTGAAACCATACTTTTCACGGAATGACGATTTGTTGGATCATCAAAACATCTCACCATCAAGTAATGGGTCATTCAGCGAAAAGAAGGATCGTGAATTGAATGACAACGGTTCACCCCAAAGGGCATTTCGATGTAAAGAATGCGGAAAGGGTTTTAAAAGATCATCGACGTTAAATACACATATGCTGATCCACAGTGACACGCGACCATACCCTTGCAATTTTTGTGGAAAAAGGTTTCATCAGAAGTCTGACATGAAAAAGCACACGTACATACACACAGGTCAGTAACACAGACATGTTAGCCATTATAATTAAAAGGAGAAGTTGGATTAGGTTAATGAAAAAGCAGCCCAAGCAAAGAAAACCCTAAAAGAACAGTTAGAAGTTAAGTCTGAAAAAACTTTTCAAAGATACCAGGCTTATATTTTTTTTAAGTCAGACGCGCGTTTCGTCTACATAAGACTCACCAAAGGCGCTCGAATTCAAAAAACAAAACAATAGAAAAGTGTCCATAATATCAGAAATCATCAAATAACCTAGGTCTAATTTAAGGCGACAGTAGTTTACCGCTGTACCCCTATTTTTGACATTTTTACCAATTATGTCTGTTTGTTTTGTTTACACATTGTTGTCAATATAATGGAATTTTATGCGACTGTCATACAAGTGAGAGGTTGAGCTAGCTATAAAACCAGGTTTAATCCACCATTTTCTACATGAGGAAATTCCTGTACCAAGTCAGGAATATGACAGTTGTTTTCCATTCGTTTGATGTGTTTGAGCTTTTTATTTTTGCCAATTTTTAAGGGACTTTCCGTTTTGAATTTTCCTTGGAGTTCGGTATTATTGTTGTTTTACTTTTTACCGATGATTAAATCTCGTAAAGTGATTACGAAAAAACACATAAAGGCAACAAACAAAAACCAAGGGAATAGCATGAACTCCAAAAGTAACGAGTCGGGGTGCGTCGACAGGGCATGCGTCTCATGTTATGCATGCATCATCCGCCATGCAAAACATCTCTGAACAAGAAATCAATACATGCAGCAGATACTATCTTCGAACTGTCATAGCATCCAATTCCTTATCTAACAAAATATTAAGATATGTACATACATAAAAAGACGACATTTCCATTCTATTGTATTTTGAGTAATATTATACCAATCTGCTAATCAATTCGCATGGTCATATGGCATTGTTCTTGTGAATTTTATACAGAACAAGTCTGTTTATTTTATCTTGACGTTTCGATACGTGTTGATATTCTTGCGTTTGTTCAAAATATAACTACTTTTAATATCGAGTTCTCATTACTGTTGAAAAACCAATAAACACAAAAAATAAATGTAAAAATTAACATCCTAGCGAATCCATCACCTTTTTACGTCAGTACTTCTACATAAGCGTAGTAACAATATCCGGTGTTCGTTCTGTTCAAGATTTTAAGTAATATATAAGGAGCATACGATTTCCCGACAATTTGTACACCTTATAGTCGAAAAAATGAGGGCTTCTAGAATAGGGAAATTTTACAGATCCTCAATGATGTGTGCATTTCTTATCACCAGTCTGTGATAGTTTCTATGGATTGTAAAAGCTATTTTAGCATTGGTTAATTCGAGTTCGTATTGCCCAAAGCTCTCGTTTTAAGTTTTCACTAAACAGTATGAATACATCTTTACATATTTTCACACACCGTTCCATTGGTTTTGCTCTGATTATCGTTCGAGTCTGCCTGATATTTAAAATGGTGATAATTTGGTTGTACATATATTTTTCCTGAAAGTGTATTTTTATTTTTTTTTTTAAATCATTGAAGTTTCAACATGAACATTTTTTTTCTTTTTAGGAGAAAAACCGCACAAATGTCTGGTATGCGGTAAAGCCTTCAGCCAGTCTTCTAACTTAATCACCCACACCAGGAAACATACAGGATTTAAACCATTTACATGTGATAGATGTGGACGATCATTCCAAAGAAAAGTTGACCTGAGACGTCATCATGAAACAACTCATTAAATGTTATTATACTGGAGGGAAATATATGGGTTAATTATGGAATTTGATTGGTTGCCTTGACAGGGTATATGAGCCCATATACCATGTGAACAAAAATGAAGATCAGAATAGTATATAACTTTGAAAGCAGGACACTCCAGTATAATATTATTGTTATTCGGTCTTCACAGGGGATATAGGCTCATATTCCCTGTCAGGCCCTATATCCTCTTCGCCTATCGGCACAGGAGATATAAAACAATAACAGGGATTATGAACCTACATTCCAAATAAAGACCCCGAATAACATACAATGTAAATCATCTGATTTCAGATTTATGGTACGTTAGTTATCACGAGATTTAAAAATCGTATTTACTCAGTCGTCTAAATTCAAATGTCTTAGTATGAACATCATTATTTCATCATGCAACCTTTTTGACTTAGTGAAAAAGTCGATGTCTTTAGAATTGTGCACCTTAAATGGAAAGGAGTATCAAAATATTCCGTTACTAAATTTCTACATTTTCAACATTAGTGATTTTTAAAGAACAGCGATTAAACGTTCTCTTATATTAGTAACTCTGAAGAAAATTACGCTACTGATGTATCATAACATTAACATTGAGATATGAAAAAGTAAAATAACAAAAATACTGAACTCCAAGAAAAAATCAAAATGGAAAGTCCATTGGCAATATCTAATGTAACGAATGTCAAGTCATGCATTACCACAACATTATGCATTCGGCCAATGCATTCGTGTAAATAAAATCAAGTTAAGCCTCCGATTTGGAACTTTCTAATAAAGTGAAAATTTATTTCTTCTTCCAGGTAACCTGTATAACGACTCAGGTGTATTGTCGCAGGTTTTTTTTCTGCTTAGTCTAATATTTCTATTTATTTATTTAATAAGAGAATGTATGTTGTTGTTACTATATTATGAATAAAAAGATGTTATTGTTTTTGTTTTTTAAATTAATTGAAAAAAAAGTATTAACAAAGAAAAAAACGAAATCAGAGGTAAATTCAAACAGGGGGAGTCCATAAAACCTAACAAAATCAGACATTTTTCGAAGAAAATGATGGGTTAAACCTAGTTTTATAGGTAGCTAAACCTCCAACTTGTATGACAGTTCCGTTAAAATTGGATGAGAGTGTACAATATTGGATTCTATTTAACGAAAGCAGTTGCATTACAAGGGAAATAAATTATCCAAAACTTATGAGGATCATTCATGACAGATAGGTCTGTATCTAATTTATTTTCTTTTTGAAAACTATGACGAAAAAAGTAAAATAATAAAAATACCGAACTCCAAGGAAAATTCAAATCGGAAAGTCCCTTATAAAATGGCAAAATCAAAAGCTCAAACACATCAAACGAATGGAAAACAACTGTCATATTCCTGACTTGGTACAGGTATATCTTTATGTAGAAAATGGTGGATTAAACCTGGTTTTATAGCTAGCTAAACCTCTCACTTGTATGATAGTCGCATAAAATTCCTATACTGGCGTACTTAATTTTTAGCCTCGTATAATTATTGAGGTTTAATGAGGTCAATATTTCGACGCTTGCCAGGATTTGTTATGTACGTTTGAGAAACGACAAACTCAGCCAATGAATTTAACAAAACGTTTCCCTGTAATGGTTTTGCTTTTCTTGCTAGTTCCCTTTGATTGTGCAGTTTCCCTTAGAGTTATACATCTGTGGCAGTCATTACTTTTGTCGCCTGACGCACCAGGTGGTTGTTAATCCGGAAATTGTTCGGAACTCATTAAATTTGACTAATTTTTATTTCCCAAGCAGTACTGAAAAAGGACAGTACTGAAAAATCCGATCTTTTTATTGGCTAGAGAGCTGAACCAAATATGCATGCTGGCTAATAGCAATTACCTTTGCTTACATTTTGACAACATTAAAAAAACAGAATTTTCCTCGTCTATTCTCCTTAGGCAAGATGAATATTTCATGCACGAATATAATTCATTTGTATCAATATATCTAAAGAATACTTGACCCAAAAAATGGGCTTGTGTTTTAACCTGTTTTATGGGAATTAAGAAGTAGTCCTTCACACTTAGAGTCTTTACATTAAATTGACGATACTACAATTTACAAGTTACGTATGATTTTATTTGTCCAGTGTTTTGCATGACCAGGATTGTGCTAGAATATAAATAAATCCGATTATGAATTTATAGTTCTACCATTTCTTCGGAACTCTCAGAATAATCTCTCATATAACTGTTATAAATTGTTATAAGGTAGGAATATCCTTAACTGTTTTAGTCTATAAATTCTAGGATAGACTGTCAAATATTGTTCATAGGTAAAACTGGCCAAAAGTGTTCTAGGTTGAAATTGTCAGAATGTTTCTAGTGTAAAACTTCAAAAACTGTTTAGGATAATAAAAAAAAGCTTCTGCCAGAAACTGTTTTACTTTGCGGAGTTTTCGGTTTTCAATGTTTTTTCTAAAGATGTCAGGAGAACTCTCTGACAGTACTAGCATTTTTTAAGAAATAAAAACTTTTTTCAAAATATACGCTAATGAGAGACAGCAACCCGGAGAAAAACTACCAACACTTCATTAATAAAATGAAATTATTAATCAAATCATTACCCCATGACTCCTGACGCACAGAAGTCCTAAATATTAGATGACGAATGAGAAGATGTTCTCAACGACTGCATTGTTTAGAATTCAAAACGATACTGACGCTATAACTAAATAGTTAATATACATATTTATGTACAGCATTAGCACATGTTTTTCTTCTGTAATTTTTAATGAATCTTAGGATCAAGTTAAGGAGTTCGGCACTATTGCTTCAGAAGGGAGATTAAAAAAAGCAAAAATGTTGACTAGTTTCAATATAAGAGTCATAATAATTCCTAAACAGTATATATTGCAAAGTCTGCAACGACTCAACACCCTCAATCCCCTCGTGTTCTTTGTATTCTGAAATGCCAATTAACGTCATTTTACAAAAAGGTTCCACCAACCTACTTAAGTGAGGTAATTTTTAACTGCTTTTGGTGTCTTTTACAAATATTCGAATTTTTACAAATATTCGGCTTTTTACAAATATTCGGCTTTGAGCGTTCCTGATGAAGGTAAATCCAGAAAAGCGATTCGGACGCATGAAATTATTTAACGTGTTGTTATCATTTTTTTCAGAGAAAGTTTCAGAGCTTGAAGTATATTTTTTCTGTGTAGACATGTGATGATTTTGAATAACATAAATGTCCTTATAATCAATGTTATAATACTGTTTCTGCCAAATCCTGTACAATTACTGGCACTAAAAAGGGAAAGTCTGAAAACTAAAGTTAAAAAAAAATCACCAAAGATACCATATATCTATACTATTAAACGAGAAGACCTCATTTTGTGTGTCGCTTCTCTTCCTTCCGCAATAAATTAATCATCATGCCTCTATTTCCTATAGGTACCATGCATAATCGCATTTGTCATCCACTCTTATGATTATTCAGTTTGGGTTATTTTGGACTAAAACGAAAAAAAGGCGTCCGGATATTGATTCCCTCATCAGACCGACTTTTAATTCAAAGACAAGACTTCCGGTTTTAAACTTTAAAACATAATTTTCATAATTACTCGGGGACAGGACAATTATTTTCGCGTTATTCTGCATGTATACTATGCTCCTGTAATATATAGAGACTCTCTATATAATATAGCTGTGATCGCCGTGGAGAAGAAACTTGGAATTGATAGTTAATAGCAAATACACTTTATTTATAATATACGTATGTTCATAGTATACAGAAACGCAAAATCATGGAATTTAACAAAAAAAAATAACACACTTTGGAAAAAAGGGAGAGGACTTAAAATAATTGTCCTGTCTCCAAGTACCTATGACTTTTGATACCTTTTCTGAACTTCTCCAGGCATAAAATCTTTTACAAAAATTCATCCAACAACAGTTCACATAATTTTAACCAAGCTCTAAACGCCCGCGATTTCGCGGATGTGTTCTAGTATATATAATTTGGAAAAGACTTGCATAAGAAAAAAAGAGAAACAGACAAATCTCATTGGCACTCATACCACATCTTCCTATATCTATTTACTGCAGGGTTTCTTGCTAGTGCTGTGTGGATGCAGTAGAATGTGTCCCCGTGCTTGTGGTGTATGCCCTTATATTTTTCAATGATGGATTGTTTGCCTGTGAGAGAGCTTTCACATGTTTATTTTATCTTTGTATTAAATCCTAATTGTTTATTAAATATTACGGCGTTTGGATGTATAAATACTCATCCACGCCTGCTATTTTTTATTACTTTTATAAATTGTTACTTGGATGGAGAGTTGTCTCATTGGCACTCATACCACATCTTCCTATATCTAAAGAAAAAACAACAGTCCACAAAACACTGCAAAACAAATTAAGGATTTAACAACACCAACAACACCAAAAAAGGAAGGGGTGTCGTACTTACAGAACATCAGTATGAGTAAGACTGTGCTAAGTAGATATAATGTTAATCCATTTCCCCATGCAACAGTATACAGATTAATTAATGTACCCTTTACACAATCAAAACTTTAAGAAAGAATTCGTCCACCTTTGCTGCTATATATATATATATATGAACAAGTCTAAATTGAAAACAACGTTCAAACCTATGATTGCGTTGGATAAAAACCGCAATTTTTATACGTGTGCATGTAAAACAAATTTCTTTTTCATTTTCCAAAAGACCAAAAAAGTGAAAAAGTATAATTTGACAAAACGCATTTGACTAGCAGGTCGCACAACGGATGTTCTTAAACCCTGCTGACTGCCATGGCGATTGCCAAATAAACGGATCACAGATGTAACAAAATGGATCTTAATTATTAATTTAATACCAAACAGAAAACAATAAACTTGCGGAAAAGATGGTATACCGCAAACACGAGGTGCAAAAATGTGTACACCATATCCGGATTTCGATATATATATATATCATTGTGAGTTTTTGAGATGTTAATATTTTAATCTATTAAACCAAGAGTTCCAAATAGTGAAGTTGAGGTCATTCCTTCGTAAATTTTACGGACGCCATCACGAGTTGGTTGACCGTTATGGAATAACCGTTTCACAGATGATATCGGATATGTTCCTTATGTCGTAACTACAATACCCTTCCCTTTTCACGAATGTGACTTACCGAATTAGACTATTTACCGGATTTGTAATAACATAAGCAACTCGACGGGTGCCACATGTGGAGCAGGATCTGCTTACCCTTCCGGAGCACCTGAGATCACCCCCAGTTTTTGGTGGGGTTCGTGTTGCTTAGTCTTTAGTTTTCTATGTTGTGTCATCTGTACTATTATTTGTCTGTTTGTCTTTTTATTTTTGGCCATGACGTTGTCAGTTTGTTTTCGATCTATGAGTTTGACTGTCCCTCTGGTATCTTTCGTCCCTCTTTTAATCATTTCTGTAACATTTTCAACGAGATTCACATCCGACTGAATAAGAATCAAAATGTGCAATGTCATATCATATCAGTGATTGCAACGCCATTTTATAACCATTTGATATACTAAAACATCATATGGCTTTCACATTATTTTTGAACGCACTGACATTTCCTTCTGATTTTTTTATTTTTTTTTATTATTATTTCAGATTATTCCGAATGGGTTCAAAAGGTTTGATAAAAGTATCTTCAAACGGAAAATTAAATATGAACAAGAAAGTAAAAAAAAACATATACATATTTAGAATTCAATGAAGTCATAGAACGATAGTTTTAGATGGTCGATTCTTCTTTTCTAGTACAGTTATGATGCATTAAAACAAGACAATCTAAAGGATCCTTAATGCATCTATTAGCACAGTTTTTATTCTAATTTTGTGAATTTTGAAATTTTAA